TTTTATTCAGTCAAAAAGCTGCTCCCCTAGCAGCTCAGGAGTTACACTATAGAGAAGGAGCAAGTTTATAGAAGTGCATACAAAAACGCTAAGAAAAGGCACCTCGTGTCTTTTAAATGGGGTTTTCACGTGCACGGAGCGCCCCGCACACCCTCTCTCCCACGGAGAAAAACCGCGCCGTGCAGAGTGGCTCCCGCGTGTTCATTTTCTCGGCAAACAAAGCGAAGCCGCTGCAGGGCTTCGCTGTATYAGTCCCACTTGATTAAAGAAATATTTTAAAAATTATTTTTTTAAAAAAATAAAATTTCAGAGAAAGGCATGGGGCTGTTTTGCACCATTTGCAGCACCGGAGCTGCTCGGCAAATTGCTTCCATCCGGGCTCAAATTAATAACATAATAATAATAATAATATTTAAAAGGGGAAAAAGAAAGACTCGGCTGCTGGTTTTAGCGAGCAAGGAACTGGCAATGATCAGATTTCACAAAATTAGAAGCAACACGGGCCCGCAAGAGTCCCCGTGTGGCTGACGAGGGCGTCACGTCAGCGTTTAACCGTTTGGAGGGAGTTTGGGCCCGCGGGCTCCGGGGGTCGGGACGGGCTGGGGGCTGCGGCGGCTCCGCCCGCGCATCCCGGGCTGCTCCCAGGCGCCGCAAGCGCTCGTGGCCGGTAGGAAAGGGCGGATTTGGGGTAGCGGGGGGAGCGTTTTGGGGGATAGGGGGGTATTTGCCCCAGAAAAGGGGCTAGTTGCGCGGCGGCAGCGCCGGCCCCGAGGGGTAACGCGACCAGCGTTAACGGAGGGGGAGGAAAAGGCACCTAAATGGCACCCGCCAGGCCGAGGAGCCCAGGCGCGGATTAAGGTTTAGCCTTTTCCTTTTTTGGTTGGTTTTCATTTCTCCCTGGCGAAAGGCCGCGGTCCCCGAGGGGGTGGCGGCTCCCCCGCTCCGGCAAAAGCGGCGCGACTAAAACTGCCGCCCCACGAGGGGCCGCGCGTGGGGGCTCCGGGAACGCGCGTCCTGCGTGGGCCCCGCTCCCGCTCGCGGGGGCTGCAGCAAAACCCCGCGAAGGGGGAGAGCGCGGGGCGCGACCCCGCGAGGGGCAGCCCCGTGGGCGCGTGCCGGGGCCCAGGGCCCACGCGAGACCGGGGGCAGGAGAGGCCCGGATCGGGAGACGCGGAGCCCGCGCGCGGCCGTGGTAGGAGCTACAAACAGCGCCGGGAACGCGAGCAGGTCGGGTGCGTTTTTCCTTATTTTCCCGTTGCATTCCTGCCCCCATTCCGCAAAGTTCCCCCCGCCGCGTGGAGCAGCGACGCGACCCGCGCCGACCCTCAGGGTTTGCAGTTTCTCCCCCCAAATGCAGCGGGGCAGAGGGGGCCGCAAAGCGGCGGTATCTCCCCGCCACTGTGGGCACCCCGAGCCCCCTCTCAAAGCGCCCCCTTCCCACCCCKTTTCCCGAAAAAAATGAAGGAAACGGGAACCCGCCGCCGGAGCCGCGGAGGCAGCAGGAGCCGCGTCCCGACGGCGGCGCCTCTGCTCCCCTCTCCCCGGCCCCGCGTTATCGCCTAATCCGCGTGTTTATCCGGGACGTGGGGAGGGGGGGTTGCCGAGGGGGTGGGGAGAGAGGGGGCCGGGAGCGGGTGCGCGGCCCGAATTACTTATTCATGATAAAAAAGTCACATGTCCGACGGCGCGTAGGAGAGGGGGGGAAATGAAAACACAGGAAAAGAAAAACGGCGGATCAGGGAAGTAAGCGGGAGGAGGAAAGTAATGTGGAGGGGCAGAAGGGTGGGGTACCCACCTGTGTGCGTCCGCTTGTGGATCTTGAGGTTTTCGGAGCGGGCGAAGACCTTTCCGCAGCCGGGGAAGGGGCAGGGGAAGGGCTTCTCGCCCGTGTGCACGCGGATGTGGTTGATGAGTTTGTACTTCGCCTTGAAGGGCTTCCCGCGGCGGGGACACTCCTGCCAGCAGCACACGTGGCTGCTCTGCTCGGGCCCGCCGACGTGCTCCGCGCTCACATGGCCCACGAGCTCCTGCATGGTGCCGAACGTGCCCGCGCACGGGCGCGGCGCGCGCGCCGCCGCCACCCACTTGCACACGAGCTCCTGCTTGAGGGGCGGCCGCGGGCCGCGCAGCCAGGGCCCCGCCGGGCCGCCGCTCAGCTTCACGTAGCCGCGCAGCGCCGCCGTCGAGGCGGCCCCGTAGCGCTCCGCGTAGAGCTCCGCGGCCGCCAGGCGCAGGTGCCCGTTGAGCGGCGGGAGGCGCTCGGCGGGC